TGCAGTTGGTTCAAATGCTGCAGCTCGGTGCTGGCCTTCCGACTGATAACGCACCTACCAATGCTGAGAACAAGAAGGTTCTTACATGTTCCAACATGAACTTGGAGAGGCCTGCAGCGAATTCAACCGGTCGTCCCGCTGCATGCAAGTTCGGGGTATCTTTGCCCCAGCAGCCGCAGAAAATCTGCAACTTCGGCTTCGCAGGCCTTCCTTTGGTGAAACTCCCTCATAAAAGACTCTCTTTGCAAGTCAAGCAATTGCTCCACTTCGAGCCTTGCAGCCTTTTCTTGCTGCAACTGCTGTCGCAACTCTTGCGCAGCGTCCTGCTCCTCGGAAACTTTGCCTTGGGCCACCTCCAGATCCAAGCGGAGCTGCTGCGGGGCGATCGATTCCTCCGTCACCACGGCGGCGCAGGCAGTCGCTTGCTTCGTGGCATGCTCGAGCAGAGCTGCCAGCAGCTCGGTCTCGCATTCACGCTGTTTGGATACATGGATGCGCATCTTGTTGTTAGAGGTCTCCTCCAGAGCCTGGTGGAACTCGTTCTTCTTCTCATGCAGCGCCGCTTTGGCCGTCTCGAGTTCTGCGAGGAGTGTCTTGATCTCGTCCTGTTGGAACTCGAGCTTGTCCTGCATCTCCCGCTGAAGCATCTCTCCCCTCCTCCGCTCGTCCCTGACCTGGGCCTTCAATTCCTGCGAGACCCGTTGCTCATGGTTGAGCAGGAGGCGGGTCTCGTCCAGCGCAGACTGCAGCTGCAAAACCTGATCGTTTATGACATCGTCGGAACTCGTTGGCTGGCAGACCCAACTTGCCACACTGGCGACGTGCGTCCAGAGAACGGCCATAGCCATAACCGAATCTACACCGACAGCGAGTAGAGTAATCTGGCGCATGTGCGCTGGAGCCGAGCGATGCGGAAAGGGCCATGCAAACCCTGCACAGCTTCGGAAAACGTTGCCGCACGTTACTGCACACAACCCGAGGGAGTGAAACAGGTGGCAAAGACAGCGGGTGCACTCTTGCACACAAACCCAGGTCAATCAGCCGCTAGAACCTTTTTTTTGCCCGCCCCGTTTCAGCATCCTCCACCCTCAACATGCCCAGGACAAGCTTCAACGGACCTCTCAGCTAACTTTTACTCCAAAGATCACCACACCCCAACAGCATGGCATGAACCACAGAGCATGGCCTCAAAGCTGCGACTGATGTCGGGCCGGAGCAGCCTGGGATATGATCAGACCGGAAAGCACGCGGGCTTCTCTTGACCGTCAAACCCGAAAACCCGCCTCGGAAACCGCGAACGACTGGCTCAGAAAACTGGGCAGGCTAGCTCTGTAACCTCTAACCCTAAAAAACCCACACCACACAAACCCGTGAATCCAAAGTGGGTTGTTGGGCAGTCTGCTGCCTTTTCTGGGCCAGAGGGTGTAATTTCTGACGAAATCGCAGAGCTGGAACGAATGCTTTGAGCAGCAGCAGAAGCAGTGCTTGCAGCACGAGCAGCGGCGGCTCCGAAAGGGAGTGTCGTTTGCATACGAGGGTGCCAAATACCTCTCACTCACTTTAGCCTATCTTACCATGTGTTGATTTGCTGCTGGACCCTGCGAGAGCCAGCAAGTTCTCTTCTTTTCCTCCGACACAGGCCTGCACACTGGGACGGTCTGTCGATCAGGAAAGGAGAATCGGGCGCAAGATGCCGCAAGCGCATGGCCTTAGCACCTCCAACTCAACATCAATGTGTGTCTGTAGGGATCTTTGGCTTACCCGCTGCTGTGAAGATTTCAGTTGCTGTCTACAGGGGCAAGGAAGATGCAGTGCCCTGTCTGTCTGTCATGCTGTACACACACTCAAAGCTCCTGCAAAAAAGAGTCAACATGCAAAGCGTTCTGTGATTGTTACATGCAGGAGCTTTGCCATATGAGGTAAATCAAAAGTCAGGCGATGACACAAAAGTTGGCACTGTGAATAGGGCTCTCTCTCACACACAGACTGTTCCTGCAAGCTTCCAGTGCCAGCTTTTGAACCATCCGGTATCGGAGAGACAAGACCACCGCCTTACAAACAGTGAGGAGAGGATTCTGTGGATGAAGCTGTGGGACTGGGCACTTCACTCTATCGTACAGGACATGACAAATTGAATCCACAGTCCTCGTTGTTGTGCATGCAGTTTATTCCGTATTCCGGCACCTCACCCAAGCATGGACAGCCACCCTAGAATCGACTTATTGCGATCAGAGACTTGCGCTGCTTGCGAGTCGTAGATCATTCTCTGGAGGGTGAGGTGTAACCCTGTAGCTAGCTGAGCATACTGTCGATTTGCAAAAACTCGTGGAAGACAAGTTGACTCGGTTTTCAGCGGAACTGCGAAAGCATGTCCTGACCACTACCAGTAACATTAGTTGAGACTGATGCCATGGCATCCCCATCCGGCTCGGAGCCCAAAAGCTCGAGCTCGGCTTGTCCGCACCGAGTACCCTTGCAGATAGGGTCGCAAAGGGCCGCAAGAGCCCTGACGGCACGGGTGCTCAGAATGGAGCATACAAGCAACTGTGGACAGGACAAGCCTGACAACGACCTCTTGCATCTCCCCCGATCCCTCAATGTCTCCATGTGAGCACCAGCAAAAAAAGACTGTCTGCAGCGGGATGCTGTGCGCAGTGCACTGAATGCGCACACTGGCCCTGCTGCATCCAGGAGGATTGCAGAAACAGCCCACCCTTCTACAAAGGCTGGAAAATCAAGGGATCTGCTTCCGTTGCAGGAGCCCTGCTGGCTCTCTGCGGCGCTTGGCAAACTTGGTACACTGGGATCGGCCTCCTGCACAAAGCTTCAGATGCATGTCAGCTGGCATGCTAGACTGGCACAGGAAGGGAACCTGCACGTCTGCAATAGGCTAACCTAGTTCAATGCTACTCGCCAGCTTTCTGAAGTCCCGACACGGCCTCGGGCGCGTCCCACCTTACTTCCGCGGAACTGGGCCTGCTATATTGCAGCAACACGAACCGTCATCTTCCGTTTGGACATGTGCCCCTTCATATGGTTCTAGCGTCGCGATCAAATTCGTAATTGCGGCTTTCCCTCTGCCTACGCTGTCAGTGCCGTCAACAGCATGCCTGCACCACTGGACACGGCTGCCTTTCTTTATTGGAGACTCCTGGGCCCCGAGACGTCAACTGTCCGGAAAGCAGACCTTGCGGCCTTGTGAAGGGGGGGGGGCCCTCTGCAGCCAAGGCGCTGGGCAGAGCCTTCTTGGCGAAGCTCTGAGCAACAGCGACCTCGAGAGCTTCCTCCGGAATCCTCGGGCAAAGGCCAATTCTTTCCACCAAAGCTCTCCAGGGCTGAGGGCTCCCTGCTGCCAGGGAGCTCTAAGTCGCCGTCGCTATCCTCAAGCAGATCATCCACCTGCAGACAAAGGCCCTGGAAGTGAATCCGCTCGTGACTGCCGTGGTTCGTGAACCCAGCTGAGCAGCCGAAGTGCCCCCAAGAACACGACTCTTCAAAGATACGCTGTCTGTCCCAGCATTTTCCAGTGCTAGGCCCATAAGAAACAGTACGGACCACCAAAACCAAAACAGCAAACACTAAAACTGATACTGTCAGTCCAAATGTTTGCGCTCAAGCCTTACCTTCAAAGGTCTATAGGTCAGCATGCAGCACACGACTAAACTCAGGAGGCGATAAGCGGGAGCACTGCCGCGAACGCACAATCATGTGAAGGGCGCCGTGCGAGCATCCTTAAAGCCGTAAATGCAGTTTGACCATGCAGTGGACTCATGCGGTTAGTCGTGCGAGACAGCTTTCGATCACACTGGATGCAACATGAAAGCTCCAGTTGATCCCGGACGGGCCCGGAACCTCATCCATCTCCTCATCAGGCATCTGCGTTGACCTTAGCGCGTCTTCGCAAACTTAGCGTCCAACACGTTGGAATAATCCGAGACTTGTCTTTCGTGAGGTCTATCAAAGCCAATTCATCAGCGCAGCAGAATCGCCAACCGCCAAGGTTGTGAACATACTGAGAACAGTGGCTGTGTCTTGACCCTGCATGGAGCTCATCCTCTGCTAACACCTTTTAAACTTCAGGTTGCCTTTTCGTCCTTGCATGTGCGACCTCTGCTGGTCCCGGAACTGTGAGCATACTTGCGAAATTGTCGGCACACACAGAAGCAACTGTACGTGTCGTGATACACCCGCAGCACCGCGGTTGGTCATCACCGACGCACTCTGTCTACCGAAAATGGACATGCTAAAACGGCTCGTGCTATCCCTGCACTGTCGGACTGAAGAAACTTGCCACTCTCAACTTTCAACACGCGGTTGCACAAGCGATCGGTTGCCAACTGTGTCCGTGTCGTATTGGTTCCTAGGCGAATCAAGCTGAGCTGTGGGCTCCGTCAGCGTAGAATTCGTAGATGGCGAACGCTTGTGGCCGGCTAAAGCCTGACGGCCACAAGCTGCACTTTGTAGGTCGCAGGACGGCACCCATGTTGAACGTGCACAGGCTACATCTTGCAGTGTAAAGGGGTGTCGACCGAAGCATGCCCTTCTTTACTGGTTAAGCTTAGGGCTATGCGGCTGCGTGCAGCTGTTTGCAGTGCACGCATTGAACGGGTGCCTTTCGAGGCCAAGCTGGCGCCATGGATCTCTCTAACTCCTGAGGAGAAAAGGGCAGCTGCCGCCTCAATGCCCCGATTCCCCTCCCTGGCTCCTAAGAAATCCTAGTGACTAGCAAAAGGTACCCGTCCCCCCCCTCCCTCCCTATCCCCCTCCCCCCTCCGGCTACCTTCTTTCCACCTTTCACGATTTACCTTTTGTTTACCTTCCATTTACCTTTTTTAACTATTCTTGTGACCCCAGAATATACCAAAAGCAATTTCACAATCCTAGTCTCATGGTTTGAGCCTGATAGGCATGAAAAGGTCTGGTCTGCTGCAACCGCGTCTGGGACACGGCCACGACGGGCATTTGCTATCCTCGCAACTACAACTGAACAGGGTCACAAAGCGTGCTGCTCCTCAAGGACCATCTTGTAATGTGCAAGAACTTTCTCGGATCCACCCCTCTTGATGCGTCCACGGAGAGCTGATGCCTGCATTGCGAGGCACGGACAAGTCTTCAGCAGCAGCATGTTGCAAGGCAGCCTGCACTTCTGCATGATTTCCTGTGTTAGTTAAGCAGCGAAGCAGACTTGTAACCCAAGTGGCCAAAGCCTAACAGTATTAGCTGGCTACGAAACATGCATGGTAGGTCCGAACTTGCGAGCATGAATCTTCGGTCAGAAACGTCTTGCAACACTCAAGTTGCGACCAGGACCAAGTTCGTGGCGAAGCCAGCGAGGCTAAAACAATCACAATGCTCGGGAACTTTTCATCGTGCATCCGAACTGAAAGAAGCTGCTCATGTCTACCCGGTCTGAGGATCTGATTTTTAATTGGGGTGTAGAATCCTTGCCTGTCGACGAATCTCCTTGTGCGGATCTTCAGGGGGAGGCAAGAGTGGAACACTGCGAGGATCGTAGTCGTCACCTTGGTAAAGCACCAGTGCGGAAGCTTCCATGGCGGTCTCAGGTCTTTCCTGGTCCAGGATAACTCACTGAGCCTGCCTTTCTTGCCAATTCTGGACAAGTCCGAAATTCTACATCTAAGTAACAACCCAGGCCCTAGGAACAACACTCTTGCACTGTCGCTAAGTGACTGTCTGGATTATAATCACGCCAAACTCCTCGTCGATCTTGCTTTGGCAACTGGGTGACCAGAGATGGTCCCACGGCCTCTGGCTGACGAGTGCTCTCGTTGCTATCACTACTTCTGGGCCATGCTCTGGGATTTCCACCGGCACGAATTGCACAGAAACCCCTGCGGCCTCGACCCTGTGGGTGTCCATGCACAGTGGCTTGCCACACTGGGCGTGCATGGACGCCCAAGGAAACCATTCCATGGCTCGGAGAATGAAGGAGGACCACCGTGCCAGGTGTGACCCCCGGATTTGAGCCTGGTATAATTGCACGACACGGCAGGGGTGGCACCGCTTCTCTGAGGCTGAATGCCAGTAAAACTGACCTCTCTGCAGCCTGGCAAACCAAGGGCATGGCAAAAGTGCTAGAAACGATGCGGCGAGAAGAAAGCCGAGCCTGGATTCTGGATGCAGTGCGCTTCAGAATCGCAGGGGACTTACGAGACGCAAAAAACTAGTTCTTCCTGAGAACACACGGAGCGGGTGCTCTTCCTCACTGAGAGTTCTAACTGTTCCTATGGGGTTCGGAGTGATTCAGGGCGTGCTGAAATGGGAAATGACCTTGTGCGAAATTTAGCACAGCAAGTTCAACCTACTAAGTTCCTTGATCATCGTTCAACCACAATGCTCCGCCTCTAGCAGTTCTATCCGGCGAAACATTATTATTATTCTTATTATTATTCCTACTACTACTACTACTACTACTACTACTACTACTACTACTATGAGTACCACTATGACTGTTGTTACTATTATTCCGATTAGAACTATTGCATTTGTTAGTAGTCATACAATTACGCTTCTTATTTCTGCAAATGTTATTCTTATTACTATGGCAACTGCGAAAACGAATATTATTACTGCTGTCACTTCTACCGCTATTACAGTTGTTATTACGATGCTCATTAGTACTACTACTACTGCCGAATATCAGTACTCTTACCGTTCCTCTCACTATTATGAGTACTATTACTATTCTTCTTACTATTACTTCTCTGATTACTATTGTTACTATTATTTCGGGTATTACGATACTACTACTATGACTATTATTACTACTAATACCACTCTTACTATCATTACTGAGAAGTTAGTGCTAGCTGCTAGTGTCACTATTACAACTACAAGTCTTACTACTTTGTTACTTTCACAGCTTTTATTACGACTACTAAGACTACTCCTGTCATTACCATTCTACCACAAGCCTCTTCAGTCGGGCTCCTCTGGTAAAGGCCGTTGGCAAGAGGCTGTTGAGGCAGCAACTGAAGGCTTATGCAAAGCCCCAGCTTAACAAAACAAGAGTAGCAACCATGATGGTGATAATCATAACAATCATCATAATGCTGGGAATAGTAGTAAGAACAATACAGTAATAATACTCATCATCATCATAGCCATCATCACTATAATACTAATAACAACAACACTAGTAACAGTATGTAAGGGCTCCGGCACTTGCAATAGAATGCCAGCACCACCAAAATCCTAAACGCTCGGCGGCCTCGCCATTTCTGTATCTATCGGTTTTTGCGCGCCACTTCTTCTGACCAGTATCTGAAATCAAGGACATTCATTCAGAAGCCCTCTGCCACTTAGCAAAAAAACAAAAAACACGTGATTGAACGTGGCTTTATCAATCATGTTTGGAAAACCTGTCTTGCTAGATGTTGGTCCAGTCAAGCGGCTCTCGCACGCCTGCCATCTTTCACTGCCCAGCCGCCCAGCCTAGCTTGCTTGTCAATTTATGTGGAAGCTTTCGAGCAAGCAGACTTCAGCCATCTGCACACTGAGATCAGGACTGGAGAGTATAGGAGAACCAGAGGGAGCTAAGGGCAACATCCCCACCTGCTCATAATGATTCTTTCGAAGCTGAGCGGCGGCGAGGAGTTCAAGTCGAACAAAACTTGTCAAGCTGGATCTCATGTCTACTTTGCTTTCAACTCCAGGCCCTGGCTGCGCCACGACTTTTTACTCGCTTGAGCTCGGGGGCTCCAAGGTAGCAGGCCGGGAGCCAGTGCCAAGAAGCCACTTCCTGGGTTTAGGGTTTAGGGTTTAGGGTTTAGGGTTTAGGGTTTAGGGTCCTGCTTGGCTTTGCTTTTGCGGCTTGCACCATTGTCAAGGGCACCTCTCTGCCCTTGACATGGGAATGGGAAGGGCGACGATTGTTGCGAGAGTGTTAACCGTTCAGTGCCAGTCGTGGTCATTGCTCCAGGAGTCAAAAAGTCCACACTTTGTAATGAATCGTCACCTTCACAATTACACACACGACTGCTTCTTGCGTGGAAGATGTGTTGACCCGTGGACCAAACATGATAACTCTCCATACCCAACGACGTGAGGAATTGCAAGAAGCACTTCTCAAGGAGCGCAGAGATGACATGAAGCCTGCGATCAACCCTGCCCCTACCAACTACCACGAAATGATACAAGTTGACAGCAACCTGAGCATCTATGTTACGGTGCTGTTCCGAATCCTGGAGAAGTTTCTGGCTCTGGGAACTCTGGGAGCTCTGGGCGCAGGGCAGCCGTCGCACGGCTTCTTCGACGCTTCGAGCTCCGAGGGCCCAGTGGCCCAGCATGCCCAGCAGTCCCGCCAAAGACAGGGCAAAGAAGCCTGGAGTGGAAGGGAACTAGATGAGCTCCTTCCAGGACGCCTTCAACATGTGTATGTGTTCATGTCTGTTCATATTTTCGGACGAAGCATTCTGACACTGCACAGACTCAGACTCCAAAGCCTGCGCGGAAAACACCAGCTAGAGTAGAATCTAAAGAACTCGCCACCTGGTACAGCAAAGAGGTACACGATCTCGCCCTTTGTCAGGAAATCTGTTGCACGCGGTGCCCTTGTCGGTGTAGGCACGCCCGTCACAGGAGGCTTGCCAGCTTGTGGCACCGGTGAAGACACCTGGCGCACAAGAGCGTCGCAGACAATGCACGCCAACCTGGTGCTGGTGAAACTCACTTGAAGGCCGACTTGGGAGGTACCTCCGGTGCCAGCACCCGCGTGAGCTGGCGCGCCGAGCGGCGGTAGGAGACCGCGCCCAAGACCTTGCAAAACCACTGAGTTGAAGACATGCTTTAAACAATCAGAGCCTGGAGCTGCAAAACTACTTGCATCTCGGGTGCAGTTCCAGCCATGACCGACAGCAACACCGCGGCCGGAGCTGCCACCGCACCCAGTGGGTTTGCCACAGTGTTTCCAGTCTGTCAGAAGAAGAGTTGGTAGTCTGATCATGATACACTGATACACTCTCCTACATTCTCCCCTGTCTCGTGTATATCTCTCCTGCACATGTCATGCGAAGACAATAGATGGTAGAAAGGTGGCTCTTGGACGCTTGCGGCCTGCGGTTGAATTGCGGCCCTGAGAGCATCGTCCACCACTGTGAGCAAGTTCGTTATCCTCCACAGGCGAGGAAAGTTTGTCTGTCCTGCCCTTGCTCCGTGCATGTTCTACAGGCGATACATCTGCGTCCTGCAACGAACCTGACATCATGCGGCATGCAAACCCTTCAAGGATCCGATTAAAAAAAAAACGAAGAACACAAGTCGTCACAGCGGTCTGAAGAGGTCAGTCAGTCCTTTCACTTGCCGCCGCTGGCTCGGACGGAAGCCGTTCACCCGGCATGACCGCTAAACTTGCAACATGCTGATAAACTTTGTGGCGGGTTAAGGTGGGTTGTTACCTCGCATGCTGGCGAGGAAAGCTGGGGTAGTTCATGGCCGGTGGTCGCTGAACTTGGGAGCCTGGCATTCGGCGGCATCACTTGCTGCCGTCAGACGACAAGCCGCCTTCCTAAGCACCATCGGGTCTGCAGCCTGTGAAGCTTGAGCAACTGCGCATCCGCGACAGTTGCCACGGCATCCGAAAAGGCAAGGCGATCGCGCAGTTTTTGCCTCTGGAAGACATGTAATACTGTACACCTAGGCAAGAGGAAGTCTGCAAATCACCGTGATGGGAAAGCCATAGACATGTATTGGTTGCGTCTAAAAGTGGGACTTCCCTTTTCCAGAAACATGGTTGTCCAAAACGTCCGAACCCAGGGGCTGAGGAACCTTCTCTCACATCTTCGGCTCTGACCGGTGCAATGCCTGGATGTGGATACAGATGTGCATGTTCTGCCTTTGAAAGCTTGCCACTCTACGGGCGTCTGTGAAGCTCTGACTGCGCGTGTGTCTTGCATGCTTGTACTTTGCAAATTCGTCTGGCCGAGCCTGAGAATCAAAAGGAGAAGGCACCTGACAGCCGCATGTCTGTCTATAAGCACAGCAGACCTGGGCTGTCTGGCTGATGACTCGTGGTATGACTGTCCTTGCTCGAGCAAGGCAAAAGTCAAGAGTATATCGCTTCAAACCACAAGCGCCTTCGGCACGCTTGCTGGGCGACCTCCTTACCAACAAAAGTCGAGCTCAGCACACAGCTACAGGTATCAGGGATGCCGTGCTGACCTTTACAGCTCCGAGAAGAACTCGGCTGAGGATGCATGATATCATCATATATGCATCGGGAAATGTCGGGCCTCCTCTCCTACAGAGACTTGCCGGTGCGTGTCTCTGTTTCGGCCCCTATGGAAACAACAGCAACACTCCTCAGCTTGTCTGAGGAGTGCATATGCTGCACAAAGATGTGCAGACAATCGCCGGATCAAAACGAGAAGCTCGCTCCGAGAAGCTCGCAACTGGTGGACCTTCTCCAGATCCCCAGCAGATTTAACGAGGCTCTCTCTTCCAGCGAGGTGCCCAGATGAGCTGTAGTTTGAACCACATGAAAAACTTATAATTCTGTAGGCTGAAAGTAAGTATGTACAGATTTTGCATACTGTGGATTGAAGTGGTGTCAGGCAGCATTCTTGTGAGAAACACTGTATATTATACTGAGGTCCAAAAATTGCCGCTTCGCTTTTCAGTAACGAGTGTCAGTGCAAGTCTGAAGTCCAGTTTTTGGGTATGCATCCTTGTAAATATTTACAGGTCTTGCATACTGTGGATTGAAGTGGTGTCAGGCAGCATTTTTGTGAGAAACACCGCACTCGCCGGTCCAGGAATTGCTGCTTCGCTTTTCAGTAACGAGTGTCAGAGCAAGTCTGAAGTCCAGGTTTTTGGCCATGCATCCTTGTTTGCGCCGATCTTGTGATTCTTGGTGGAGTCGCTTGTCCTCGAACGTGTCTTGCTGACTTAGCATCCCGACACCCTCGTGGAGTGTCCCACACGCCGGGGGGGATGTAGCTGAATCTGTGATTGCCGCTACGGGCAGAAAACCACTGTCGCGCACCACATCTTGGTGTTTCCGGCTTTAGTGCGATCGATGTGCCATTCTTTGATAATCGACACAAGTTCGGGCAATTGGATTCTTCGCCTGAATAACGTGCAAGAGGACATTTCGGAGACAGCTCTTCGGGACACGTCCATCCCTTGTGCAGCATTACTGAGTGATGTCTACCCTGTGAGACTTTCAATAAGCGAACATGGGTCCGGACCCGGCAGGCAGGACTCTCAAGAACACCCGTTTAACTAGCTTCATCAGCACCCTGGCTTGCAATACACTGAGAAATGCAAAAAACGAAGAATGCCAAGATTTGAAATTGTCTGCTGCGCTGTCGCATGGCCGGCCACATGCTCGGTGCCAGGCCAAGGACTTCACAATGGCCTGAGACTTCATTCATCCTACATGCAATCACGGGCACATTAAGGCCCTGTACTTGCATGCAGGGCTTGTGCAAGACTTCTGCACTTGCCCTTGTGCGGCCGGCGGGAGTCTTGCTGCAGCAGAGCAGGTTTCACCAGCCTTTGACATCAACATTAGTCGCCATTTTGTACCAAACTGTCCACGTCTGCTGCAGACAGTCAGAACATGATGACAGCGATGCAGAGCTTACCCTATTATATCTAAAGACAACTGTAACACTCCACATACTACTAGTTTCCAGATCTAGCAGGCGTTTACGCAAGAGACCGGAAATCCAGATATGCAAGTGTATATTCTGCAACGGTTAACTCATTCTTCTAGCTGCTGCTACGGCCGTGAGTGTGCGTTGTGTGCGTGCGATGCATGCGCACGGAGCGTCAAACCGATTTGGTGGCGTGGATTTCAGGAAATTGTCGAATCATTAGAGAATCACGGAATCACTGGCAACTTGCCGGCAACCAACGAAAACTATCACGGGAGCCACTGAGGCTTCTTCTGCAACGGCTCGCATCATGCTGACTTCAAGAGAAAATGGATGATCGAGATGAATTAAGACCTTCAGCACGGCGGCTGCCCAAGCGGCGGCTTGACAACAGAAGACCATCTGGGCAAAACTCGGTGCTCCCATCTTGGGGGGGCTTTGCTCAGGCACAACTCGAACCGTGTTTGGATGGGTCACCCCAAAACGTGTCTTTGTGCATCATTGGTTGCCAAGCATCCCCTTGAGTTGCCACTGCGTGATGAAGGCACAGCGATGCAAAGCACTTCAGCTATTGCAAGTCCTGCCGGCCGGTCCCAACTGCCAAGGTGAAGCCCGAGTTCCAGAGCATCAGCCCTTCTCAAAGGTCCTTCGACAGAGGTAACATGAAGCAGAAGACCTGACCACGAACGACCAGTAGTACGATCTCGGGCTTCCTCATCGCAGCGGTCGGTGGCCGAGCTCAACTTTGATGTCGTCCACTTCAAAACTGGCTATAAGCTAGCAGCCTTTCACACATGCACGGGCTTCAAGCACTGTATAGCTCCGAGACATTCCTCAACCGTACGGTTTGACCCAAAAAAGGCTGCAGCCAAAACGTCACCCATCACGGGTCACAGATGGAGAGAAGATGTGGAAGATACCGCGCAGGGCGACCCAGGCCCAACCGCCTCAGACTGCCACCGCACAAGAAGCTCAACTGACGGAATCGTGAAAACGTTCGCACTGCCAGACGGAACTTCGATTCACGTGCAACCGTTTGCACCGTTTCACTTACGCCTTCAAAGCTTTGGACTAGCCACTCGAGTATGGACTTGGATGCTAGCCAGCTCTTCTACTCTGAAACCTGGCGACCTCATTCAAGGTGTGTCTGTCACTGTCTGTCGAATGGTGATACGAAGATGCACACATCGGCAGTCAGTGTAATAGCAATCACAATCGTCGTTCAACTCCACCCACACAGGGAACTACATGCAGGCAGGAATGCTCACAAGCAAGCATGAAGGGCCTCATCCTCATGAGAAATTTTGGTTTGGTTGCACACCAGACTTGAAGGCTGACAAATGGCTTCAAAGTGCATTTCGGGTAGCCGTACAGACAACAAGACTAAGCATGAAAGAAAACAACAAGTGCCATCTCGAAAGCGAGACGGCTATTTCTTTGGCAGCACAATCCGGGAACCAAGCCTCAGTAAAGACTGAGACGGCCCAACAAAGTGGACGACGCCTCCTGGCGGAAGCTTGGCACTCTGCTTAAAGACTCGCTACCGACACTCCTAGCTAGCTTCCAAACAGCAATCACATGTCATCCACGAGCCCCTGGGACAGAAGTCTGCTGCAAACTCTGCAAAGATGCTAGATGCAGAAGAGCCCCATTGGTCTGCTGACTGTTTGTTCCGTGCCAGCCTTCTGACGAACAGGCATTGCAGTTCTCGTTCTCAAGATGCACGCCTCGCACTGCACTCTGGACCGGTGTATCTGCACGAACTCGTTCAGGTCAGCAGTGACAGACTGTGCTTGTGATATTGAATTGCTTCACTGTGAACAGCGGCCTTCCGCTCTGGAATGGGAATGGCTCCCGGAGGCAGCTGTACGCGAGGACCCCGGGGGACCTGGCGCGAATACTCGATCTAGTTGTGGAACGATGTGCAGGCGAGACCGCCTCTAAGTTTTGAAACGAAGTGTTCGCAAGAGTCACCTAGAGGCATGTTCTGTGCCTCAACGGTCTTGGAGCGGCGGACTCGCGCGACCCAACAGCTTGGAACCTGCACACTGCACTCAGTGTTTCCAGCCCGTTTCCTGTCTGAAGTAGTCTTCGCTTCAATTAGTCGTTGCTAGGCTTGGCCTCTGGGAAGGGCGGCTGCGGCGCCTCCCTGACATGCACCGCCGCACCTGCCGAAGAACTGCAACATTGGTATGTAGAGATATTTCACATCTTCCTCACATTGCCGCTACAGTGTGAGAGCCTACTACTTTCGGCCGATCCTTCAAGCTTGTCTGGTATCTTCAACAAGGAGGAGTATCTACGACGAATCTACGATACTCAACCTTCTTGAAACTTTGACTCTTCAGCTTTCGGTGCTACTGCTGCACCCACACCAACAAAACAACAACATGCGTTGCCGTTTCTCTTCCACTCCCCCGGCAACTCATAGCTTGCATTTTCTGCAATCAGTTTGTAGCCGCACCGAAATGTCCGGCTGCATGTTCGTGGGCCTTAGGGCTTCCAAGCACTTGCCTTGAAGCCTCTCAGATACTTCCACGAAAGAACACGGCTCGGCGCGGGCTGTGTCATGCCCACTCGCGGCCTAGGCTTGCCAGTGGCGATGACTGCGGCGACACGGCAAAGAAGCCGCCTCGGGCGGCCTCGGCACGCAAACGCAGCAACGGATATTGCAACTTGAGAACCCCGGAGCCAAGGCTCAATGTGAGAAGGAAACACCATGAAAGCGCATCTGTCGTGTCCCCCGAAGCCCGCATAAAGCTGCGTGCTTGATCATGTTGGCAGCACCTTCAATGCAGCCCAACATTTCGCAAGCACAAGCCAGCATTAAGCCCCTGGCCCCCTGGTCCTTTGGCACTTCCATATGGTCTATACACCTGGTTTTGATGCGCATCATCCATGATTCAGCCGCGCAGAGCTCATTCCAAACACACACTATACGAACCGAAGCTTCGCGATCTCCTAAAACTCTTGACACATCAACCAGAGCAGCGCGCCCCGAATCCCCAAATGCAGCCGGAGCACGCCCCAGTTGCACCGACAACCGAAGAGAGACTCAGCAGCAGAGAGCCAGTTGTACTGTACTTCCGGTTCTGGTTTTCGTTGCACAAACAGGAATAGTGAATGCATCCTGATACGCGGCTGCGTGGAACGCCGGACCACACACAAAGCAGCTGCAAACAGCAAGATGCCACCAGACACCGCATGTCGATTCAATTTAAGTCTCTTGCAACTCGACGGTCTGGAGCACAAACGTGACCTTTGATTCTTGGCCGATCACCAAATCCAACAAGAGCCGATCATCAGGCACGACGAACGAATCAAATGCCACTGCCAAGCATGAATCGTCGCAATCTTGTCGTGAGGCTGCGGCTGAAGCTCCATCCATGCTTGCTCGCAAAGAAGTGTACAAGGCGAACTAAAGGTGCTGCGGACCTCTTGGCGGCAGTGACTTACCGTGCTGATGTGCGAGATTGTGTGAATAGCACAAGTATTCACGAGCGAAATTGCGAGAAATCTCCTCCCAAATGGCAAGGGATTGCAGAAAAAAATAAAACTACATTTACCGTTCCGGGTGCAGAATTTTCATATGTAAACAGGTGTTACCAAGGTTAAGAAGCAACTTGAGAATACATGCCGGCAAAAACAGCTGTTGAGCTGGTTTGCATTCGAAACAAAATCCGAAACTACGGGTACCTGTTGCTTTGCTGCCTTGGAAGCAGAAGAGACCAGTCGCTGCAGTGTTCGTGCTTTTCGTTTGGGAGGAAGCTGAACATCGACGTGTGGATATAACAACATGTTTGCTTTGCCACATGAAAAAAACTTTTGGAGTCAACCGTTTTCACCCGGCAAAGCAACTAGGCACGCTTCCAGCGTGTCGACCGTGTCGACACCTTTCTGGTCTGACAATTGATGAAAGGAGCACGGCACATTGAAAATGACATGTCGGAATTCGATATTGCAACACTGCAATCGTCATTGTTCATAAGTAAGAACCGTGCTATCGGCACAACACTGTCATGTCGAGCTCCTGTTTTGGGCGCGGTTCGGCATCAACTCAAGGCATGAATAATCTGTGTGCACCGCAACACACTGGGTCCTGACCGGAGACACAAGGCAACCTCGGATCCAAGACTTTTTTTCTTTTCACTAGTCAACGATACGTCCAGCATCTGACGCATAATAAACTCCAAAACTTTTTCCAAGATGCATCAGAAGTGACTCCAACCGCAAACGACTCCAAGCAGCACAAACAACCAAAACTGCTGGAACAAGCAACACTTTTAGAGAAGACGATGGAGTGGCTGAAAGCTGAAAAAACAAAAACAGCAAAGAATTTGAAGTTCGCTTTCAGTGTCTCTTTTATTTGGGACAGAAGCTTACAGTCTGCGTTTTTTTTGTTGGAAGGCACTAGTGTTTCTTCAGCAATGCAGTTGGAGAGCAACTAAAGTTATCTTTTAAACAGGATAAAAAGAAACCAAATCAATTCAGTGCTTAAACTGAGGTGCTCGTGTGCCACAGTTTTCGACTCCAAAACAGAATTGTGGAACAGAGGCACAAATGGAACCTTCAAGACAGTTTCTTGAGACGACAAAAAAAAAGTTTCCAATTTCTCGATTCGAACATGAAGTTTCCGAACCCAGGGTTTCAACTTTCTGGAGAGGGAGAAGGCGTTCGGCAACAAAGCAGAACCTGATTTTCGTCAACACTTTCAGTAACTTGTGCTCGTTTGACTAGCTGCTTGGCTTACCAGTGACTTTCAACTTAGAAATAGTGTTTTTTCCATGTTTGATTGTGCATTTCTCGAAAGCTCAGAAATAGCTCCATTTTTTGGGGCTACTTTCCGTTCTTGGAACGGAGCGACTGCTTAGCGATGCAGTTGGATAACCTCCAGACTGCACTACTTTTTTGAAAGTAATTCGTTCCAAACAATCAGAACAGAACGTGCAATTCTGCCAGAATTCAAGTTTACCAAACTGGAAAGACTCTTTCCAAACCTTAGCAAGCTGCTTTTGTTTCAAATCATCACAAATCGTGTAAATTGCATGACAAAAAGCGAGCAGATGTAGTGCGTTGTGCGATCAACTAACTTCGAATGAGATTCGAGTTCAAAGTAGGTTCGACAACAAAAGAAGCGATTGGAGTTGTTCAAGAAAATTCCAACCCGATCTTGACCTCAACCTTGCTTGAAAGTCTTGGTCGGCTTTGAAGCGGAATACTTCGAAGCCTTGGAGCTTCGAAGCTTTGTCCTCAACAAAGGAAAAACAAATGAAGAAATAAAAATCATTTTCAAACCTGGAGCTCCAAAACAGGAACTGCACTTTTGGTGGCCACAAAAACCAAGAAAAAATAAGAAGAAAGTTGGTTTTCGTGACCTCCCTA